CCCACCCTCCCTCTCTTTCTCCCCCTCCTTCCCTCCCTCTCCATCCCTCCCTCTCTCTCCCCCTCCCTCTCCCCTCTTCCTCCCTCTTTGCCCACCCCATCTCACGGGGTTGATGTTTTGGGGGGACAAGTAGCAGGAGGAAGGAAGCATGGTGTGTAACTTTGTCACCTTTTGAGTGGTTTATAAAAATAATAAAGATGGGCTATAAATATTCATGCAAATGATGGTGATTATGGGTGCTGATTGCATTAAGCGGAGGTATGTAATTATGGCAATTGTCTGAATGTGTCCTTGCGTCCCACGGAAAATGAATACATGGGAGTCCTTGACTTATAACCATTTGACCCTTCGATGTTACAGCTTCCCTGAAAAAAAGTGACTTAGGACTGGTTCTCACACTTACGACCTGCACAGCATCCCCACCATCGAAGGATCAAGTGAAGGAGAGGGTGGGAGAGAGGAAGAGAGAGAGGGAGAAGGAGAGGTAGATACAGAGAGGGAGGGGGGGAGAAAAAAGAGACAGAAGAGGGGGAGAGAGGAAGAGAGGGAGAGACACGGGAAGAGAGGGGGGAGAAGAAAGAGGAAGGAGAGGGAAAGACAGAAACAGAGGAAGGGAGGGAGGGAGAGAGGGAGAGAAAGAGATGGGGAAATGGGGAAGAGAGGAGTGAGGAAGGGAAAGAGTGGGAGAGAGAGTGACAGAGGGAGAGAGAGAAAGAAGGGGAGAGAGGGAGAGGGAGAGCAGGAGAGGGAGAGAGGAGAAAGCGCCAGGAGAGGGGGAGAGGAGAGGAACAGAGTGGGAGAGAGTGAAAGAAGAGAGAGAGGAGAGGGAGAGACAGAGGGAGGAAGACAGAGGGAGAGCAGGAGACAGAGAGAGAGAGAAAGAGAGGAAGAGAAAGAGAGGAGAAAAAGACAGAAGGAGAGAGAGGGAGGGAAAGAAGAGAGAGGAGAGGGAGAGACACAGGGAGGGAGAGCAGGAGAGAGAGGACGAGAGAGAGAGGAAGAGAGGGGAGAAAGAGACAGAAGGAGAGAGAGAGAGAGACAGAGAGGAAGAGGGAGAGAGGGAGGGAGGAGGAGACCCTCATTTAAACAGACATTTATGCCTCCAGACTCCCCGGGGGAAATTAACCCATCATCTTTCCAATATAAATTCAATACTCGATCAAACCGCATGGCTCTCCTGGAACAAGGAGGAACTCCCTGCAAAGCCACCCAAAGCCTCAACGCTATTTCATTTCCAGGCTCGGCTGGGCTGCCTTTAAAGAAAGCCAGGCGGCCTTCAGAGGCTGCACACAGCTGGGCTGGGTTAGGAACACCCGGATATGCACAGGCACAGGAAGCCTCCCGCACAATGGGCATTGTTCCCCGGCAGATGGGCTGCACCGCTATTTCCCACCAGGAGAATCCCCTCCCATTCTCGACGGTCTTTGTGTTCCACTCGGGAACACAATGAGAGGCATCCGATCGTTTTCACCGCCACCCTTGCTCGCTTCGTTTCATAGATACGCCCAGCGCCCCAGATGCTCTTTCGCCCAGTCCGGGACCTCCAATAAGGCACGTAACCTCACTCACACAAACACACCCACCCACGCTCATTCGATTTCCTTACTCTGCAAACCAGAAGGGTCTTTGAAACTGACCGGTTGCTTTTTCTCTTGACACTGGAGAGGTGGCCTTACTGGCGGAGTAGGACTCCAAATCCCATTTGTTCTGACCGAGGCTCCCCGAGATTTTGGGGGGGAAACACGGTAGCATCCTCAATAAAATAAGAATCCGAGGCTAGAGATTCCTCAAAATTCCAACCTTGATTTGATTTGATTTTTGATTTTAACTTTATTTGTATGCCGCCCTTTTCCCTGAGGGGACTCAGGGCGGCTCACA